ATGATGACGTGGAGCAATGGAGCAGCTGGAGACTTTAGATCCAGAGAGGGAGAGCGACTGTGTTCTGAAGACCTGGGGGGTACGGGGGAAGGATTGCAGGGTATACCCTTTGGTTGGTTGATGATGCATGGAGAGGACTGTAACCATGGCAATGAGGCGATATACAATACAATGAATGTAAAACTAATGTTCTCCCATGTAAACTACCACATAATTCACAATAAAACATTTAAGGAAAAAAAAAAAAACCCACAACTTTCTAACATGTTTATGCAGCATGTATGCACTAAGTTTAATGTTTATTATGGCCTGTTTTTCACATGGACTCCTGGTGTGGCACCGTAGGATCAGCACTGGACTGCGAACCACAAGCTCGGCAGTGCAAACCCCACCAGTGCAAATCCCACCAGCTACTCCTCAAAAACCCTATACAGAGTTGTTATGAGTATGACCAGACTCAACAGCATTTAACTACAACAACAACATTTTTCACATACAACATTAAGGAAAAGTACACAAATATCTGTTTCTGTTGCTAGGAAAGCTCCATCATATGCAACAAACAACTCAAAAGAGCAAACTTTTCTAACTAACCATTCTTTCCATGTTAAAACAACAGAAATAGGGCTGTAGAAACTTCTGGTTAATGAAGCATAGAATTATTTTTAATCCTTTGTTCCTCTATGGCTTTGCTTATTAACAGACTTTCTTTTAGAAAGGCTAAATTAGAAAGAATTGGAGTGGCAGAAACACAATGGTATTAGTCTTAATTAGCTGAAGTGAGTAATGCTTAAACTGCTATAGCTTAAGCCATAGCCTGAGAGAAAACAAAAATCTGTTAACACACTGTCTGAAGCAATTAAATGAATTTCTTAAGGAAAAATAGCAACAATCTTCCTCTTTTAAATACCTTGCAATAAATCCAGAAGGAGAATGCTCTATATTTCAAGAAATCAAACACACAGTTTTTAAATGTCTTTATAGTCATCAGAATAAAAGTATTGAACACAGAGCTAGAACAAAGTTTCACACAGCTCTTATTTAATTTTGAAACTAAATTCACAAGTATATACACTATTGATCTATGTTCACAACTATCTGTGCCTAAAACATTTTTTAATATTCAAAATGGTTTGAATAACCAATTAGGTTTTAATTGAATCTGTGTTCTTACTTAAAACTGTCCAAGTTTTTATCTTCCTGTATATATTCTAGAAACAGTAACTAATTTTCACAAACAATAAGGTTTTATAACATAGAAAAAAATCAATCCAATAGACATAATTTAAGAACCTTACTAGTAAAATGAGGGAGCTCTGATAGCGTAGTGGTTATGAATCGGGTTGTGAACCGCAAGATCAGCAGTTCGAAACTACTAGCTGCTCCCGTAAAGATTTACAGCCTCAGAAATCCTGTGCAGGGTCGCTAAATCGGAATCGACTCCACGGCACACAGCCAGCCACTAGTAAAATGTGGCACAGTTTAATCTGTGCTTTTTTTAAAAAAAAGTGTACTTTCTCTACCTAGCATCAAAAATTATTTGAGACACTGTTACAGGGATGGTTTCCCAGTTCTTGGTCCTGCTTTGAAGCATTCCAAATCCTAACACCTAACTAAATCCTATTAATCAAAAAGTACAAAGACTAGTCAATTGCTTCTTTGTGATTAATCATTATTAGTACATGGATAGATATCTCCTGACGAACAAACTGACTATTCCAAACCTCAAATTGCTTGAAGGACCAAGAAACTACTGAAATTGTCACTAGGTCTATTTAAGAACAATTGGCCACACACTGCACCTACATTGAGCTATAGAGTATTAAGACATTAAAAAGATTTGCAAAAAAAGGTAAAAACAATTCCACTTTTCTAATGAAATATTATTTTGTTTTAGAAAATTGTTTTATTTTCACAAACATGTTATTATGTCAACATATAACAGGTTTGGGGATAAGTCATGGACTGCTAACCACAAGTTCAAAGGTTCAAGCTCACCAAAAAGATGAGACTTTCTGCTCTTGCAAAGATTTACAGCCTTGGAATTCCGATACAGGGTCGCTGTGAATCAGAACTGACATGACAGCACTTAACAAAAACAACATAATGGGTTTTTAATTAATAAACCAACAGTTAAAAATATGTTATTTTTAATTTCTAATATTCATGTTTATTGTTATTAAGTGCTGTTGAGTTGATTCTAATTCATGGCAACCGAGGAGCAGCTTGGTGGGTCTGAACTACTGACCTTCTGGTTTGCAGTCCAGTGCTGACCTTACAGCACCACACTCATGTTGTTCTAAAGAAAGGCTCTTCAGGGTTCTCACTAGTGAGTGTAAAGGGGTCGAAAAATCAAACAAAAACTACAGATACAGGAAATTACTAAAAAAAAATGGAGACCATATTCAAAGACAGTATGATTGGTGGAACAATAAATGACAGTCCACTATAGATCTAATTTGAACTTGCTTTCAAGGAAGATAAAAATAAGGTTGTAAAAATTAGTTTAGGTTGTTTTAAATCAGACTTAAGCATGCAATGAGAAAATTAAGATTAAGAAGTACTTTAATTTTATGAGACTATTTACTTTTTAAATCTTATTGTAGGGTATCTAATAATTAAGAGAGAGGAATGAGGCTTATAATGCACTTTTAAAGGCTACATGTACTTCCTCCTGAACTACTTCATTATAAATGATGTAAAAGAGAGCAAGAAGAAAAACTACCTTGCTTAAAATGTAATTATTTCTATTATACTAACTCCCAAGGCATAGAATAAGAATAAAGTGTTGAGCGAAAATCAGCTAAACATAGTAGCTGCAGGACTTTCTTTGATTTAAATCACTGGTAATATTGCCATCTTGTGGCAAAACCAAGTACTGCAGTTTTGAATGACAGACTCAAAACTATAAGTAGTTTTGGCTAAAAACAGCAAATGTTTCTTCCTCCACACCATCTCTCAGTTAAAAATCTTTACATTTATTTAATTAATAAAATAGAGGCAAAAAGGGAAAGAATATTATTTAAGCAGGAAAGTAAAATAGATATCCTGATAAAATAGTAAAATAAAAAATGAAAGCATAGCCCAAAACAATTGATGAAAAATGTTTCAGTGCATCAAATTAGAAATTCAAACAATGATGGATAAATTTTATAAGCACAGTATTGGACAAAAACCTTGTTTGGTGAGTCAATGTACATTGCTAAATTAATTCATTTTTATAAGTCATAATTGCTGCCATACTTTAAAGCTCTCATTTGGTAATAATCAGGATATTCCTCTTCTCTTCACTTCCGCATAATTTTCATGTGAGTTTATCTGAGCATGCAATGAGGTCAGCGTCATCATTACTGACAACCTAATCCAAATCCACCTGCACTTGTGACAGATACTAGCCCATTACATTTCAGTTAAAATCAGTACAACTTCTCTGTGCATGTACACACACACATCCACACTAACCAAACCCCAAACAAACCCATGAAGTCGCTCCTGACTCACAGTGACCCTAGAGGATAAAGGAGACCTGCTCCCTAGCGTTTCTGGGACTGGAAATCTCAGAAGCAGGAGCAGCCAGCCTTCTCTCTCACAATGACTGGGGGGTTTTAACTGCTAACCTTATGGCTAGTAGCCCACACTTAAACCACAAAGCCACCAGGGCTCCTATACAAACATTGTTGTTGTTAAGGGCTGAAGAGTCGGGGCCAACTCACTGCAATCAATATAGGGTTTCCGAGGAGCATCTGGTGGGTTTGACCCACCAACCTTGAGATTAACAGTCCAGTGTTTATGGAACAATGCATCAGTTCATACACACATTGCTATTGTTGTTGTTATTAAGTGCTGTCGAGTTGCTTCCAACTCATAGATACCCTGTATAGGATTTCCAAGGAGCAGGAAGCTGATGGGTTTGAACTGCTGACCTTGAAACACACGTTTCTGTTGTTCTGTTAAATGCCAGTTCCAACTCATAATAACTTTGTAGAGGGTTTCTAAGTATTGACTGGTGAGTGTCTACCACTGACCTTATGGTTCAAACCAACCTTGTAGTCCAGTGCTTATCCTATGTTCTATATCCAGAACTCCTGATACACACATTTGTTGTTGTTACGTGCCACTGAGTCGGTCCCAACTCATGGAGACCCTGTATAGGGTTTCCAAGGATAAATACATTAGCATAAATACAGTAAGAATTAGGGGGAAAAAAGGAATATAGGCTAGATAGAACCTTATCAGTATCAGTTGAATCTAATCAGTTCATCATTTCCAGTTTATGTAAATATATATAATATGGACAAATATTTCCCTTAAAACTGAAGTCAAGATTGAAGAAGTCCTGAAATAAAGATAAAATGTGTATGATCAGCTTCTAGCCATTATTTTATATATTCAAAACTGGAAGTAGTCTGAATGATCTCCATATTCTGATTAACGCCCCGGATTGCTTCCAATACATTAACAGGATTAGACTACAGACAGCAACAGAGTAAGAAAGAATGAACACCCTCACAACCATGTCCTTTCCCTCCACTGCTTCCACAGTGGCAGCTGGATTACTCCTTTTCTTGTTAAGTGCCGTCGAGTAAGGTCCAATTCACAGCAACCAAATAGTGTTTCCAAGGAGTGGTTGGTGGGTCTGAACTGCTGACCTTGTGGTTCAAACTGACCTTGTGACCTAGTACGTTCATCCTGCAGTACCAGACTCAAGCAAACTCTCAGATAGAACCAGTGGGTACTCCAACAGCCCACAAACTATGTAGCTTGTTCCTATGAAATAAGGCTTTATCATTTTTGAGAAATTTGATATCTAAAAAATTTGAAAAACTGATTTTTAAAATATCACTCGTTAGTTACCTAAGGTGAGGGTGCATTCAGTGATTATTTAATAGGAATGACCTTGAGGGACAAGCCTTGGCTCCTTAAAAGCATTACCCTAATTAGAAAACACCACCACAAGAATTTGTGCTGAAGACTCAAACAATACTAATTGGCAATCCAACCTGTTGATGTCTGCAATGTTTGGTGCAAGCCATGTGGCAACTGAAGGGTGAAGAGAGGGGAATGGACATTATTTCTGAAGAAGTCTTCTGTTGCTTTAGACTGTAAAACCTTGGTTTCCCAGAGCTGCAGAGAAAAAAAATGTTTGCTTTAAAAAAAAAAAAAATTTATCAAGATACTTATTTCTATTTTTTAAAAAGCTTTTTAACTAAATTGTCACCTGAAAGCACAACGAATGGGTAAGCACCAAACAGTAATTAAGAGGTAGAACTACAATTTATCAGGTTTTTTAAGTAAAAAAAGAGAGAAACGTGTATTGTCTACAAACCTGCTTCAAGTCTTTTAAGACTTGGTCCTCTATACCTTCTTCAGCAAATAAAGTCCGCACTCTTTCAATTACATCTTCAATTACAGATCTGTAGAGTTTAGGCTACACAAAAGCACATTAAAGGTTTAAATTATCAAATTTGAATGTATTTAGCCTTAAAAGACATAAAATGTACTCTTTCTAATTTTTTAGTTTAAAGTCACTACAAGGATTTTTACTAAATACAGTCTACTCCTGGTTATCAGCTTAACTTCCTTTCCATAAATTGTGTTAGCTTCAGACCCACAAAGCTTCAACACAGAACAAGAGGCAATCAGAACAGAGCAAGCGGTTACTGAAAGGTTTAAAATCAGGAAAGGTGTGCCACAGTTTTATCCTTTCACCATACTTATTCAACCTGTATGCTGAGCAAATCATTTAAAAAACTGGATTATATGAAGTGTGTCAGTCAGGATTGGAGTAAAACTCATTCACAACCTGTCATATGCAGAAGTGAAGAGGACTTAAAATACTTAACTGATGAAGATCAAAGACTACAATCTTCTGTATGGATTGTACCTCAATGCAACTAAAATTCTCACAAGTGGACCAATAAATAAAATCATGATAAACAGAGAAAAGATTGAAGTTGTCAAAGACTTCATTTTGCTTGAATCCACAATCTATACTCATGGAAGCAGCAGTAAAAAAAAAAAAAAAAAAATCAAACAATGTATTGTACTAGGCAAACCTGTTGCCCAAGACCTTTTTAAAATGTTAAAGAACAAGATACCAGTTTTAGGACTAAGGTGCGCCTGAGCCAAGTCTTGGTATTTTCAATGTCTCATATGCATGTGAAAGTTAGACAATAAATAAGGAAGATGGCAGAAGGATCGATGCATTTGAATTATGGTGTTAGAGAAGAATATTGAAAGTACCACAGACGGACAAAAGAACAAACTAATGTCTTGGAAGAAGTGCAGCCAGAATGTTCCTTAGAAGCCAGAATGGCTAGACTTCATTTCTCATACTTTGGACATATTATCAGGAGAGACCAGTCCCTAGAAAAGGACCCCCTGATGGATCCCATGCCTGATCAACAAAATGGCATTGCAGCTGCCCCCAAGTGGCAATGAATAAAATCCTGCTTAAGCTTCTGGTCTCCGGAAAGCTTAAGTCTTTGTTACACCTAAAACCACCACCACCTTCACAATTTTAGGTTTCAGGAAAATCTCCATAACCGAGCCCATTGGAAACTCACCAGAATTGTTATTAGGACCACACCACCTTAAATAGCCCAGTCTGTAAAAAACAGGCAGCCTCTTTGTCTATTTTGGTGCCGTACAGTACCCCCTTCCCAGGTTTACTCTCAATAAACCTGCCTGTTGTTGAAGCCAAGTCTCTCTCCTCTCTTTCTTTCTTATTTCTTATACCCCCAATGAAATGGATTGACACAGCTGCAAAAGCTATGGCTCCAACCTAACAATCCTAAGAATGGCAGAGTGTTGGACAGCAGTTGTTGTGCACAGGGTCACTATTGAGTAAAACTGACTCCACACTACCTAACTAGCCCAAAAATGGCAGAGGTAAGTGTGCTGACAATACCAATCTAGTGGAAGTTCCAATAATTTATATAGAGATAGATATATATGTTGTTGTTGTTAAGTGCCGTCGAGTCAGTTCTGACCCATAACGACCCTGTACAGGGTTTCCGAGGGTGTAAACCTTTACAGGAGTAGAAAGCCTCATCTTTCTCCCGCGGAGCGGCTGGTGG